TATTTTAGAATCAGATGAAGCTGCAAAAACCTCCAAACAAGAGAACGCCGGGGCCAAGATTGCCTTGGAATCGCTCTGTTTCGGAGCCGACCACCACCTCAAGACGGTCGGGCTTCAGGGGTTGAGGCTGTAGGGTCAGGGGTTTCGGCGGTTTGACGGATTTCTTCGAGTTTTACACAAGTGTCCTAACCCTAAGCCCTAAACCCTAAACTCTAAAGGGGTTCTTGAAGCGCCAGTTTTTGGGGTCGTTGTAGCAGGAGGTTCAGTCGTCGGGCTTCGGTGGGGTCTTTGCGGCTTAGGGTTTAGAGCTCTATGACGGGCATCTGATCGATTGATAAGGGTTCTGTTGATGCGTCGTTGTGGTTTCTCTTAGTCGTGTCAGGGTCTAGCCGGGTTTGGGCTTTCAGGCCGCAGCAAAAGCATCCAAATCCCGATGCAAACTGGCCTATGGCCTATGGGTCCTGATCACTTCGGGATCGAGTCGTGTCTGGCAATCGAGCCCTGGTGGCAACACTCCTGCATACGCCATGCATGAGCTCCGGAATGCCACGGAAGCCTGGAGCCCAAACCTCAAAACCAAAGCCTCCAAGCCCAAGCCCAAAACCCCCACATCGTGAAACCCGGAGCCCCTGAACAAGCAACCTGCACCCAACGACCTGGAGAATGAATAACTCAAAATGTAACACTCCAAAAAGGCCCCCACAGGGGGGATGAAGGCAGGTGGGGGACACATACTTAAATCTTCAGAGGGTAGGCTTATAACTTATGACTATGACTACCTTAGGGTTAGAAGCGGATGTATCTACAATATATCTACAGCTTATCTTAAGTACTTGAGACCCTGCTTACTAACTCCCTTGATCTTTCAGGTACAAATCCTTGTGAAGGGGTGCTTCATCTCAACTGCCTTTATCCCTCCCTCTCGAAGCCCCTGCGCCACCTGCCTCGCTACGGTTTACGCGACGCTCCACCTCCTGGGCGGTCTGCACCTCGACAGCTTCGAGGTTTGGGGCGTAGGGTGAAGGGTTTAGGGCTCATGGGGTTTAGGGTTTAGGGCCGTACCGCTTCGACAGCTTGGTTGTTGGGGGCTCTGGAGTTTGGGGCTTCGGGTCTTGGGATGCGGTATTTTCCGGCTTTCGAGTATAGGGTTTGGGGTTTAGGGTTTAGGGTTTAGGGTTTAGGGAGAGTACCCATATAAACAACACCCAACCAACACAACAAATACAAAACGCTAAGTAACACAGAAAACCAAACCTTGGCCCTTTTCGGAACCCGGACCGAACCCTACTAAGGCCCCAAACTCACAAACCCTAAAGCACATGTGGATAAACCCTTACACACCACCCTAACCCTAAACCCTAAACCCTATAAACCCTATAAACCCTAAACCCTATAAACCCTTGATTCCCTAAACCCTAAACCCATACGAATCCCGCAGATACTTTATATATATAAACCCTTAAAGCCGGAGCCTCCCCGTGAGACCCTGGAGAAGACCCGAAACCCTAAACCCCAAGCCCTAAATCCTAAACCCGAAACCCTAAGCCAGAAGCCCTAAGCACTAAACCCTAAACCCTAAACCCGAAAAACCCTTTCTAAACCCTAATCCCTAAACCCTGAACCCCTCAAGACAACGACACCCCCACAGCCGAAGATCTCGCACTTTCTCGGCCCCCGGGCCACGCGCTGCTCCGTCTGCGCGCCCTGAACCTGCTCGTAGGGTTTAGGGTTTAGGGTTCGGATTTAGGGTTTAGGGATTAGGTTTTAGGGTTTAGGGTTTAGGGTTCGGATTTAGGGTTTAGGGATTAGGGTCGAGGGTTTAGGGTTCGGATTTAGGGATTAGGGTCGAGGGTTTAGGGTTCGGATCTAGGGTTTAGGGAGTTTAGGTTATCGGGTTTCGGATTCAAGTTTAAAGGGCTTCGGGCTTACGGTATATATCTTCTTCGCCCCTGTACCTTGTGTTGCGTCGAATACCACCCGGCCAGCTGCTGCATTAGGTGCTCCGGGGTTCAATCCGGCAGACCTAGTGTATCTAGGCAGCTGTGGGTCAAGTTGTAGGGTTTAGTGGTTTTTTTGTTGAGTGCCCTTTCGGTGCCCTCAAAACAAAAACCTAAGCCCTAAAACTTGGCCCACAGCTGGGGTTTAGGGTTTAAGGTACCGAATGGCGCCTGCCGAGAGTTCGCCCTGCAACCCCTTCGACTGGGATGCAGCAACATTGCAATGCCCTCTTTCCTTCATGTAAAACCAGCAACTGCGCTAAAATTTTAGGGTTCAGGGTTTGGTAATCATTCATGTTATGACGGAACTGTGCGCTCAATGTCATGCTGCTGTCTGTTGGCACGCGCTCCGGCGTGTCAGGTTCGTTCTGTGTCAGGGCCGTCTCACACTAAACCCTAAACCCTAAACCCCTAAACCCTAAACCCTAAACCCCTAAACCCTAAACCCTAAACCCTGCCTTTTCTGCTACCACGCAGCCAATCCGAACCCAGGTCTCCATGAGTTTTGGTCTCGGTTAAGGGTTTAAGGCTTCGGCTCTCAAGTTGGAGGTTGGAGGTTTACGGTGTGGGGTCCAGGGTTTACGGTTTAAAGTTCAGGATTTAAGTTCGGGGAATGGGGGTTTGAAGGGTTTACGGTTTAAGGTTCAGGATTTACGGTTGGGGAATTGAGGGTTTGAAGTTAAGGGTTTGGGAGTAAGGACCTGGTCGCTAGCGGACGGGGCTAAGTTCCGGGCTCCTTTAAGGGATCCTTTAAGCTCTTCGGTCTTTTCTGGTGGTTTTGCAGGATGCTACAAGGATCAAGGGACTTCGCAGGCCGGGCTGCCATGAAGGTAAGCACAGATGTACCGTTGCACTAGGCATGCAAGTACTGTTGCGTAGCAAAGGCTGGGCAAAACATTAAAACTCCAAAGCCAACCGTGAAGTAGCCTGAAACCCTCAAGCCCTAAACTCAAACCCTAAACCCTAAACCCTAAACCCTAAAACTCAAATCATAAACATAGAGGGTTCGGTAGGGTTGCAAGGTCTGGAGCTGCAGATTTCAGGGACAAGTTTGGAGGCTCAAGGTGTGGATGCCAGATTGAAAACGTGGGGGCTTGTGAGGGTTGGGGTTTAGGGTTTAGGGTTTAGGGTTTAGGATTTACGGTTTAGGGTTTGGGGTCTAGGGTTTAGGGTTTAGGGTTTAGGGCTTAGGGCTTGGGGTTTAGGGTTTAGGGTTTCGGTTTTAGGGTTTAGGGTTTAGGGGGTTTGGGTTTTGGGGTGCGTGGGTGCAAGCAACCTCATACACAAGAACTACCTAAACCCTAAACCCTAAATCCTAACCCTTAACTACCTATCTCGTCTCTCCACAGAACGGTGACGAAAGGAACCTCGGTGATGACCTCGTGTCTCAGGACCTGCAACAGAAAGGGTGCAGGCCCACAAGACTTAATTTTGGGATCCAACAAAAAGCTGGAAATCCCCAAGTTGCTTTGAGACACTATAATACATGGACGTAGGATTTGGGGGTTTCCGAAAATAGGGAACCCTAATATAGTACCCTAAATAGTGGGATCCTTATTATAAGGACCCCAAAATAAGGTACCCCTTATTTTCGGAAACTCCCATTTGGGATAAGAGGATGTAGGTCAAGAGAAACTGAGGGCTTAGGGTATGGAGGTTCTGGCTTTGGATTCAGGGGTCCAGGGTCAAGGGTTTGTGACAGTCTCTTTACCTAAACCCCTAAACCCCTAAACCCCTAAACCCTAAAACCCTAAACCCCTGAACCCTAAAACCCTGAACCCTGAACCCCTGAACCCTAAACCCCTGAACACCTAAACCTTAAACCCTAAAACCCTAAACCCCTGAACACCTAAACCTTAAAACCTAAAACCCTAAACCCCTGAACCCTAAAACCCTGAACCCTAAACCCTAAACCCCTAAACCCCTAAAACCCTAAACCCCTGAACCCTGGGTTTAGTGTTCAGCAGTTTCCGGGAGGTGATTTTTGACTTGGCCCTTCCGGGGCCTGCAGGCTCCATGTGGCATGCTGCTCGATAAAAAGAACCCGACGGGCCAAAAGGGCTCAGTCATTAGGGTTTAGGGTTAAGGGTTTAGGGTTTAGGGTTTAGGGTGTAGGGTTTAGGGTTTAGGGTTTAGGGTGACTCAGTCATGAGGTCCTTGGTCTTGGGATGGAGATGAGATGGTTTTGGGGAGTATGTACCATTAGCTACTTGGGCTCTTACCACGGCAGCCTTTCTTACTTCGTCCTCCGATCTTGCAAGCTCCGGCATGGAATG